TTGTATTTTGTATTAGGCATAGGATTAGACATGCAGGGCCTTTTGTAAAACGCAAAACGCAACCCAAACTACAAGAATAGAGTCACTGTTTATGGACAAAACAAGGTGAAGTTCGCATCCCTGCTTCCTTTACTTCATTCCCGATCAGTTGATATGCATTGATGTCTGCACTATATTAGTATTATTATTCATAGGACTAAACATTGTGTTTAACCACAGACAAGGGAAACAAACTTTTATTTCCTTAGTCAATGGTTTAACAGAAAACCATGTAGGCATCAATGTGTAGATCAGCCAATCCAGTAAAGGATCACGTCAGCCAACTAACGAACTAGTTTTGCCCCTAAACCAAGTCTATTTAAATTTAAAATGTAGGCCTATACTTGATTCATGAAAAATACCCTGTACAACCATATTCCTGAACTGTTTAGTTTGTGAATTCAAAATAAAAGTTATACTAGAACCAATACTGACATTATAACTCCCAATTATTTACGAACACCCTAATTATTGCTACAAAGGCTTCAGCTAAAAGATTGTACAAGTTATGTTTGATTTAATACATAATATGGTATAATATTACATCCTCATATAATTCTGTAAGACAAAAATGTTACCAGAAAATTGTGGACTTCTGGTAAGTCACAGAAAAATGGGAGGGGTTTTAAATTAAAGGTCTTGCCCCAGGAACTTGGGAAAAATAGCATAATTCCCATAAAGTTACCAGCAAATTATATATAACGTACAATGTTCTCAATAAGAAGCTGTTGTTTTTTTTTTTAACTTCAATACAGCTGATAGTGATGTATCAGCCAGTGGGCAACATTATGTTTAGTATTTAGAAGTATGACTTAACCCCTCTACTTTTAAGGTTGCCGGATTGATCCTGAGAAAAGTCGGTACAGTAGCTTAGTTTTAATCAAGACATATTCTAGCCGATCTTTATGAAACTTTGTATTTTAAGGTAGTAGACCCATATTTAGAAAACATAAGTTAGTCCAGTTTTAAATTTAAATTGGTGCTTATTTTTTTACAACTTTAACTAAAAATAAAAACGAAAAACTTACGAATAAGTGTTAGTACCTAACACTTTTATTTAGCTCTAGCAGAGTATCCGTCCTTCGTAAGGGGTTTGCGTATAAGTGTTCTCAAATCGACTTTATTTTCCAATATCACAAAGCTGGCCTGAGAAAATTGAATACTCATATATGCTTAATTATTCAGTAAAACCAAAACCACGTGGCAGATTTTATTTGTTTAGATGGACATTAATTAATGAAACTACGTAGATTCTATAGCCATTGTATGTATAAATAAATTTAGGCTCTATACCCTGGTTTATGGATGGATATTTATATAAACAGTAGGAAAACTATCAGACTTTTACATAATTTGAATAATTTTGATAGTTTTTGTTTACAATTTTAAAATACCTGCATGTTTTTGGATTACGGCTAAGGTCATAAAATATAGATGTTTTTTCTTCCAAGGAAAGAACTTTGTGGACATTGTTTTACAAATTTAAGGTAATAGTTTTTGTACCAATTGATTTTTTATACAATTTCATTATCATACGTTTACTTTTTAGACTTCAAATTGCATAAATCCTGATGATTCTTACTCAACGACAGCTGCTATATTTTTACGAGTTTAACTCTTATTGCAGTTAAACTCTTTAGTCCATTTAAACAAATAAAATGTGCCACGTGGTTTTTGGTTTTACTGAATAATTAAGCATATGAGTATTCAATTTTCTCAGGCCAGCTTTGTGATATTGGAAAATAAAGTCGATTTGAGAGTTCTGCTTGTTTACATTGAAATGCCATAGCACATGTAAACAGTGCGAGTGTTCTCATTGCAGCCATGGAGATCAATCAATATTTACTTTTAAATTCCTCACCTCAGAACTTTGAAAGCCAAAGGGGCAAAGCCCTCGGTTGGCATTGAAGCGTAAATCAACAGCTAAACAGATCCTTGGTATAGTAGCTATATTTTTGTAAAATTTTAGCCCAGTCGGTGTTGTAGTTGTTACGCGAATGAGTAGCACACACACAGGCCGAAACCATTACATTTTTATAAAATAAGTATAGATTACCATTTCTTATAAAACAAAACCGAGATCAAAATGAACAAATACTGAAAATAGCTGAAATATCACGATTTTTAGTTGTAAAATAAGGCAATATGAACCCCATGGTTTATTTTGACTTATTTCATAAGTAAAGTCGTGATATTTCAGCTATTTGTTATTCGATCTTTTTGAACTTTGGTTTGTCTGAGAGAAAATTATAATGCTTTATAAAAGTGTTCTTGGTTTTTTTCCTAAATTTACACTGTTTTTATCAATTTGAATTATGAAATAAAATAAACCGCTAGTTTGAAGTCTGAAATTGGACCAAATTATTTATTTTTCAGGATATGTTTCTTCTCCCTTATACATACCATGTTTCATAACGATCGGTTGGAAAAGTTAAAAATATAAAATACCCCCGCCGCAGCAAACCTGCAGACTAAGCAAATTTCCATTTGCCTGATTGGATTTACACTAAAATGCCCCCTTAAATATATCACATTTATTCCCTATTTAAATAGAATTAGTTTAACGAGTACTTAGGTTTGCTGCAACAGGGAGGGTAAAAAAGTGTTTTTGTTGTAAAATGTTTACAGTTTAGTAAGAAATTAATGTATTTTCCAAATTCGATCAAAATATGTTCATAAACAAGCAAACTAAACAGTTGATTTATTCTCCATAAGAATAACATGGGAATTTTAAATTTACAATTTTTTAGAATTTTCTCCGTAACCATTAGGCGCACAATAATGCTTCAATATACTGAATTATTTGTTTTTTTAAGCTCTACAAAATGGTATAGAAAGAAATTGTGAAATTTTGTGTTTTTAGGGTCGAAAATGGGAAAAGCCAATTTTTACCCCATAAAACCCCCCATAAACCCCCGTTTCCATAGTCCGATCATGCTGGTTTGCGAACTCGTTCGAATAAATGTAGGTTTACACGTTTATACCAAATTTCATCAAAATCGGATCATTTTTGCTCGAGTTATCTTGCTAACGGACACACACACACACACCCACACACACACATATATATATATGTATATCTATATATGAATTTGAACGGATGGTGTTTTTGGCTTCTAGGGACATCAAAACGAAAAATTAAATCGGTCCCGGGTCCAGGTCTTACCATGAGTACTACGGTAATAGCTTATTCCCTATATGGGAAATTCGCTTAAAGTGTTTATGTGACAAAATTGCCGAATATCTAACTAAGTGGTGGTTAACAACGCGGTTTTAGGAAAAGATTTCTTGATTTTTCTTTATTTTGACCTATAAAACCATTTACCGGAGTTTACTTGTTTACTTACGGGTCACCCTGTATAATATGTCTAGAGGATCTTATTTCATTTATGATTTGCATGTAAATGTTACATATTTGAATCTCTATAGTATATTATTTCATTCGACGTCGATCAGTAACATCGTGGTCAAAGTATCTTGTCATTTAAGAAAACAGGAATGATTTGCCTGACTGAGGCAATGGAAGTGTATTAGAAAAGAATCCGGATTTAAAGAGCAATTTGTATGATAATGAAAGTTTAGGGTTGACTTACAACGTTAAATTAACACCTTATTTGAAAAAAAAATACCTTTTATAACACAAACTGTTAAACCTGAGTATTAAAGGTTAGACACTTGGACTTACTTCAAAAAGTTCAGGTCATACACAAACAAAGTTTTCAATAGGGTAATATGTACCATTATTTAGAAATTATTTTATATAAATCTTTTCACAAATCTATATAAATAAAATTATTATATTGTAAAGCTGTTACCCACAGGCTTCACCCCGTTTGACTTCATAGGTATTAACCTTGACTATGTATTAATAAAACTATTAATTGGTTAAGTTGGGCAAATACGTACAGCTGAGGTATTTTTAACATTAGATACATGGAATGATCCCTTTAGAAAGGAATTACGAGGGCCCTTAGAGGGCAATTTATGAAATAATGGATAGTTTAGAGCAAGGTGTCTCGTCACGACGAACATTTTAAGTATATGGTTTATGGGGGTGTGACTTTTAGTTTTCTCAAAAGTTCATGGGTACTTTGAGTTTATATACAGTATATGGTTTTTTTAATATTTGGTAATTTGTATACGCTTTTCCTTACGTGATATTACTAAACGACTTCCCAAAAGATCTGATTAGCCTAGGCCTACTATGTTTGGTTTGTGTGGAGCAATACATCGAATTAAAAAGTAACGTAGCTTAGATTCGCAATAATCCTTACTGTTTATACTGTTCGATGAAATGGTGACCATACATAGTAGGTATTTTAAGCAAAGTATGAATGGAGATGAGTGTAGGACGACCTTTGATCACATCAATTCACATCAACATCTTCATAAAGAATGTTTTACGGCAAATCTAAAAAAGTACAATATTTTAAATCGGTATAGTCAATTACAAGTTTACTTATCATACATGTGCTGTTAAACTCATTGTTGTTGATTGAATGAGTAGATAAATAAAATCAAAACAAATTAATAAAATTTTACACAACCTTGTCAGGTGCGTTTTGAAGGTGGTAGGGGGTAGCGTAGTAGCGCAGGGGGTAGGTGGTGATGAATACTTGGTGGTTTACTTCTAGATTTGGGTACGTAAAGGCCCGCCTTCAATCCCCGAGATAACCAAACATATTTTACTAATTTAGACCGTTTTACCCAAAAGTGTTTGAGTTTATATGAAAAAGAACTCCACTGGTGTAAACAATAACAATAACATAAAACTTGATAACTTAATTAACTTCGACTTAATAACATAAGTTTGTAGTTGGTTAGGTAGGTAGTGGTATTATAGGAGTATTTTTCTCTTGAGAATGAACACGCAAACATGTCACAATAAAATCTTTGAGGTATTATTATGGTTGAAAATATTAACTGTTCACACAATAAACACAGAGTCAAGTAGATGGGCTATGGGTGGAGTGTTGGTGGTACAACTGTCAGCTACAGGTGCTACTGGTCGTTACGATTTGTAAACAAGGTTATTTTTTGGTAAATCTACCAAGCAAATCTTTCACGTATCCGATTAACAGCGTGAAGGATACAAGTTGTTTTGGTTAATTTATTTATACTGTAGTACAGAAGATGGTCTTATGCATTACCTGATGTGTCTTATGCACTAAATGGTCAATATCACCACCCGAGCCTCAAGTAGATGTAAATGCCCTTTCACACATTGCAATACCATGTGTCAATCAAGCCATCTAATGGACATGTCTAATGGATGGTGATTGATGTAGGTCTAGCCTACACGGTAAAGCTCAGCTCAAGTAGCCGCACCTACTTACCTTCACCACGACGCTACCACCTACCACCTTCACCACTACGCTACCGCCTACCACCTTCACCACTACGCTACCACCTGCCACCTTCACCACTACGCGACCACCTACCACCTTCACCACTACGCTACCACCTACCACCTTCACCACGACGCTACCACCTACCAACCTTCACCACTACGCTACCACCTACCACCTTCACCACTACGCTACCACCTACCACCTACCACCTTCACCACTACGCTACCACCTACCACCCTCACCACTACGCTACCACCTACCACCTTCACCACGACGCTACCACCTACCACCTTCACCACCACGCTACCACCTACCACCTTCACCACTACGCTACCACCTACCACCTTCACCACGACGCTACCACCTACCACCTTCACCACTACGCTACCACCTACCACCTTCACCACTACGCTACCACCTACCACCTTCACCACGACGCTACCACCTACCACCTTCACCACTACGCTACCCCCTACCACCTTCACCACGACGCTACCACCTACCACCTTCCCATATGTGTAGTTGAAAAAGCTGACAAAATTCTTTTGTTTCTAATAAAAATATGAATACTCATAAGTTTAACTTAACACTGGAAACTCCAAAGCCAATGGGGTGGAGCCCGAAAAGGATTTTTGAGATAAGAATGCGTCTATATGTTAATCGGGAATGTGAAGTATCATCTCACCGAATTTTAGCCCAATCTGACCAGTATTTTTAGCGTTTATTTGTCACAAACATCCATCCATCCATCCATACGTTCTCACTTATAATAGGATATTTCACCAGATGTTTAACTGCAGTATTTATGATTATTGTTATTATGTAGGCCGAGTTATGTGCGTCGTGACGCCTTAGTACATTTACAAATTATTATCAAACAGAAACAATGAAACTGGAACTTCTTAACTGTTTTGAATTTTAATTTAAACATTACACTTTATTATAAGGAATTAATTTTATTGAATGCTTTAATTTTTTAATTGACTAATTAAAAAAATGATCATTCCACGAAAATCAAACCTCAATCGAGACATAACATTGGATCATTAATTGATTTTAGTGGGGGAGCTAAAGTACAAAAACCTTAAGAAATCTGCAAATTGTGATAAGAGTATGCCCTTTGGTGGGAATGTAGTTTAAGGTTAGGCAATGAAAATGAGATAGGGAGGCACCGACCAAAGATGCTATAATCCAAAACGGCGGCGATTTTTCAAAATGGCTGCCCGTATTTTGGGTTTTATACATTTTCTTATGATATACATCATACAAAATGGTGTTTCTGATAAATTTTTACGTTTTTAGGTATAAGCTAAGTAAGTAAGTTCAGTAATAAGGTAGTAAACGTAAATTTTTCACAGAAAATTTATATCAACAAATAAAAAACACGCTATATTTTATAAGCTGCAGAATATTTCTACCAACACCATTTTTAGCTAATAGGGAAGTAGCTATTACCGTAGGTGGCATGGTAAGACCTAGGCCCGGGACCGATTTACTTTTTCATTTTAATGTCCCCAGAGGCCAAAAACACCATTAGATCAAATTTTTATGTATGTATATATTTCTGTGTGTGTGTCCGTAAACGCGTTAAATTGAGTATTTTTCGTAGGAACGGGGTTTTACGGGGGTTTTATGGGGTTAAAATTGGTTTCTTTAATTATTTACCCTCTAAACACAACATTTCCCAATTTTTGTCCAGACCTTTTTAAAGAGCTTATAAAAACAAATAATTTAGTATATAAAAGTGTTTTTGTACAATTATTGGTTACGGAGAAAATTCAAAAAATTGTTATTTTAAAATTCCCATGTTATTCTAATGGAGAATGTTGTAAAATTTTTTAGTTTGCTTGTTTATGTAAAACATTTTGATCGAACTTGGAAAATTTATTTATTATATACTAAGTTATTCATATTTTACTAAAAAACACACTTTTTTACCCTCCCTGTAGCAGCAAGCCTAGGTACTCATAAGACCTAATGCTAATTAAATACATTTAATTGAAAATTAACTCATACAAATGGAAATTCGCTTAGTCTGCAGGTTTGCTGCGGCGGGGGTATTTCTGATTCATTTCATTCCACACAGATTTTCATTGAAACCATTTATATCTATATCAATATCGGCAGGTAAACCATTTATATCATCAAAGTTCGGAAGTTTTTGACAAGCGTTACACATCCGGTGCTACAAGCATTTATATTTTTATTATTTGCAGAACAAAGCAAACTATCATTATCTGTCTTTTGGCACACTATAAAATGGTCCGATCAACAGCTTTTGGTTAATATCCACCCAAGTCACTTTGAGGAACTATTATAAGTGTAACGGCTTCGCCATTTTTAGAGACCAATCTTCATTCACTCGAATCAAAAAAAAATAAAACCCCCAGAACTGGCACCGTGTTAGGCCCGGTGTGACGGCCAAATTTGTACAGGTTTTCCTAATAAAACTACACTCAGAACGTGAGCGACACATAATAATAAACACAACAATGACCTGTAGAATCAGCTGTTTGGCAATATTTGTTTATTTAACATTGCCAACCTGGTTGAGAAAAATAATTCAAAGTGTCATAGTTTTGTTGACATTTTTATCCTATCATATTTTTATAGAAAAAATCTCAAGGAAGAAGAAGAAACTCTCTTTACAGTGATTTCACATTATTTTTATTTTCCTTATGTCTCAAAATAGATGTAGGCAAGGGTGAAAAACACGTTGTAAATAAAACGTTGTAGGTGAATAACTTAACTCTTAAATAAACAGCTTTTTGGAGAATTGGCTGAAAACGAGTACATTTTCAGCCTTAGATTATAGAGATGATATAATTGTAATGTATTACAAACTTGGTATTAACTTAAAGGCCGGAATCTCTAGATTAAGATTATACTAATATTTAATAGTGTGAAGCTGGGTTTTCCTAGACGCGGAGTCGGCCAGCGGAGAGCGGACAACGGAGAGCGGAATTGAAATTAACATGGCATTCCGCTCCGCTGCTAGGAAAACAGTAACATTAAATTACCTAAGACAAGCTGAGTCCGCTCTCCGTTGTCCGCTCTCCGCTGGCCGACTCCGCGTCTAGGAAAACCCAGCTTTAATGCCATTTTCAAGCTTTTATTAGTGAATAACTAAGTAAACAAAGAATACGGGCAGCCATTTTGAAAAATAGCCGCCATTTTTGATCATAACAACTTTAGGCAATGCCTCCACATCTTATTTTAGTTGTCGGACCATAACCTACATTCATACCAAAAGGGGTTTTCTTATCACAATTTGCAGTTTTGATATACGTAGCTCCCCCACTATTTGGACTCTTGTTGATAAGTGATATTTTTGCACATGTAACATCACAAAACTCAGCAGATTTTTCAATATGATCCATATTGATTGCGACAAAAGTTCGCTGAAATTACCCACTGTATTTGTAAAAATAAGAAAAGATTAAAGACAAAGTTAGCATAATATTTTATGTGCGTTATTCTGACGAAACTCCCAACAATTCTATACCCCTATAATCTAACACTTTTCCATTCATTTTGGAATAATACGTCTCCAGCATCGTAGCTTTGACTATTAATACAACAACTAGACATTCCATCCCCGTCAATGATCGTAATCTTAGCATCGAGCTAATCTTTTTAAGAAAACCACAGTAAGTTATTTAAAATTACCCAAATTATTTTACAGTTAAAGATCAGTGTATTGTATGTCAAAGTAAACAGACAGTGTATGGCCGATTGTGTAGGCCTACCGGTCCTGCATATCTATACCGCCAACGGTGAATGCAGCTTTTCAAGCAAGGGTCAGACAGACACAATGTCCTGTGAATATTGTAGCAACTTAGCTGGTCTCGCCCCTCGGTTTGTATACTCTATAGCTACACGTTTTTATTAGCTTTGCATCTACCATAGGATGGCCTATGGCATCGCAGACTTGTTATCATAACTTAAACTTTAATTAAAAAGGTTATCAACAGAGTAGTTGACTATAAATCCTATATTAATTAAAGCACGTCCCGTTTCCCCAACAAATTAAAATTTTCCTCTGATTTACTAAAGGGGAAATACGTATTGCACAATTGAAAAGTATATGTAGCAAACAAATTATTGTAGCAGATTATCAACATATTGTTTGAAATACAATATCGCCATTTATCGTGGTACTATTGACTAAACGAATTGGCTTCTTTAGTTCTGAACGAAAAAATATGTGGAAAGTGATTATGGTATGGTAAATCACATCAAATCAACTTCATTTGAGGACATAAACATCTACGTAACAACGTCAAAAGTTCTTAAGCTAGAAATTTATTCTGTAAAATTAGAAATATACTACTGTATTACCCAAAACCTTGTAATAGTACGTCTTAATTCACAATCATAATTTAATGTTTTTATTTTTATTTGCAGGTTTGTAAAAATATCCTTGACGCGGTAATATTGTTTTTCAGCAAAAACTCCTTTACTGCTCACCCAATCGCTCAGTATCTTGTTCAACCTTAAAAGGCTCGGGGAGTGTATTGTAAAGTTTGACTCCTTTGTACCCTAAATGTGTAATTTTTCTAAGAAACTGGTCGTGTTCAAGGGGTTGGATGGTGTTTTGGCAAGAAGTGTGTATTGTGTTTTTTGGGTTGTGGTCAGAAACTATCTATGTTGTGTGTACCAATTGTAGGCAATTGAGTATGAAGATAAGCTTGCACGTACTGTCACAAGGTACATTGAAGACGGCTCTAATAGTTGTCTTTTGTAGCTGGAACACAAATTTTGTTCTGACACTTTCACAGCTCCAGATGGCAACAAGGTACAAGGTACAATACGACGAAAAACTAGTCCATAATATGAATTCAGGGTTACTTGAGATTTAGTGAACTCTGAAATATTTCTCATGATGAATATTCTTGAACTTATTTTTTCACGGATGTGCTCAATGTGGTAATGAAATTTAAGGTTGTTATCTAGGATAAGATATTTGGCAGTGCTGCAAGATGTTAGCTCCTCGTCACCAAGAAGAACAGACAGGGAAGCTGCACTTCCCGAGCTATTAATATGAAATTTGATCATGTTGGATTTTTTGATGGTCAACAGAAGTTTATTATTTTCAAACAACTGAAAACTTTGTTTCTAATGCTAAAGGATTCCAGATGAGCTGCATCTCTGACGATACACAAATTGAAGTTTCGTCAGCGTACAGGAAAAGATCTATTAACTGTTCCTTGTCCCTACTACCCCAGGCCTAGCATCTAGTGCTAGTGACAGTACAAAAATCACAGATATAGGGGTTAGGTTATGGAAAATGGAAATAGATACAAGACTTTTATTTCATTTCGGTGTTCATTTATTTTATGTAGTTTATTTATTTATTCTATACCTGAGATTTTGACCCTTTGTCACTAACACTAGATGGCCTTGGGTAGTAGGAACAAGGAACATACTTCTGTACCAGACTGTATTTTAAACTGCGGCCTCGTGTCAGGGCCAGGTCCAAATTCACCAACATTTTTTGGGTCGTTTCTAATGTCCAAATTCACCAACTTTCTACCTTTAGCAGGTACGATATTTCTCCCGGCGGGCGGGGAAGGAATTCCCTCAGAATAGTTTGCCATCGCCTGCTCCGTCTCGTCTCGGCGAGAGTGTACTGTGACCTAACCTAACTTAACCTAACCTAACCAAACCTAACCAAACCTAACCTAACCTAAAGCTGCCTGAAACAATCACAGCTTAAACAGTACTATTAGGGCTAAGCAGTACACTCTCGCCGAGACGAGACGGAGCAGGCGAGGGCAAACTATTCGGAATTCCTTCCCCGCCCGCCGGGAGAAATATCGTACCTGCTCCAGGTAGAAAGTTGGTGAATTTGGACATTAGAAACGACCCCAAAAATGTTGGTGAATTTGGACGTAGCCCGTGTCAGAGACCCTCGCTCGCGTCGCTAATGAGGGTCAACCCCTTGGCAAAACCCGTTAGACTGGAAATTAAAATCTGACCGTGTCAGAGAACCAATGCGAGCGTCAAGGTTGGTTTCAATACAGAATATGGCAAATCATTAATGAAATTAAGGAATAAAAGTGTTCCGAGGATTGAGCCCTGTGGTTCGCCTATAAATACATCCAACGAGGCAGACGCGTAGCACTTATGAGGTTAACTTGGATGTCTATATAGGGAATTTGGTCGGATTGTGTTCGGGAAGGATGACACAAAGCATGAGGAAAGCCACGTACTCCCGAGGAAGTGAATTTTATCCAAAAGAATAAAATGGTCGATGTACCGTATCAAAATCATTGAGGAGATCACAGTTTATGGCTAGTGCAGAT